CTGCCGGTCTCATTGTTGTTCCTTCCTCTGTCTGTAGGCCAGAGGCAGGAGGTGGAGTAGGAGTAGTGCCAGGAGAGCCGTTGGAGGAGCTCCTCTCCTTTCTAGTAGACATATCTCTGATACCATGTCAGAATCCCAACCACTAGACCATTGGGATAAAAGGGCTTGTTTCAGTAGCGGGTCAGTGCGCCCATAACCCCCCAGGCGAACGCGCCTGTAACCCTCTCCAGGATCAATCGGGCATCCACAGTGCAGATCTACTGACACCTCCCCACACTGGGAGGCCCAGGACTAAGCACAGCGGCAACGGCCTACATGTGCATGCACCGGGAATCGAACCCGAGACCGCTCTGATACCATGTCAGAATCCCAACAACTAGACCATTGGGATAAAAGGGCTTGTTAAGTAGCGGGTCAGAGTGCGCCCATAACCCCCCAGGCAAACACGCCTGTAAACCCCCGTAGGATCGATCGGGCATCCACAGTGCGAATCTACTAACACCCCCCCACACTGGGAGGACCAGGACTGAGCACAGTGGCAACGGCCAACATGTGCATACACCGGGATTCGAACCCAAGACCTTACTGACAACATGTCTGAATCCCAGTCACTAGACCATTGGGATAGAAGGGCTTGTTTTAGTAGCGGGTCAGTGCGCCCATAACCCCCCAGGCGAACGGGCCTGTAACCCTCTCCAGGATCAATCGGGCATCCACAGTGCAGATCTACTGGCACCCCCCCGCACTGGGAGGCCCAGGACTAAGCACAGCGGCACCGGCCTACATGTGCATACACCGGGATTCGAACCCGAGACCGCTCTGATACCATGTCAGAATCCCAACCACTAGACCATTGGGATAAAAGGGCTTGTTTCAGTAGCGGGCCAGTGCGCCCATAACCCCCTAGGCGAATGCGCCTGTAACCCTCTCCAGGATCAATCGGGCATCCACAGTGCAGATCTACTGACAATGATTTAACTCTAACCTGCTCTCATACCATGTTCTTGTTGGGCTGAGTGCCCTTTAGGATCTTTGGTAGAGTTAAAGTTTGAGTGAAGTGATGTAGTAGCGGAAGCGTTTTAAGTAAAGTCCTTGAACCACCTTGCGCTAGTATATGAGGGCAAAGTAAGTTGATTATAGCAAAGAGATACAAGAATATATATATGAATACAGAGAATATGAAGAGATATAATTAAAACTACTTTACTGTTGCGGTTCGATAGAGTGCAACTCGGGCAACCGCTCAATGTCGAGTCAGTTGTGTGTCCTTGCTGTCGCGCTGCATTTGTCAGGTCAAAGGTCGCTGACCTTTGACTTTCGCGTAACCTCCAGCGGTTACATCAACCTCTGAGGGTTGACTCGCTGGTGCCTCGATATGCGCAGCTTCGCTTGTGTCTTGGTGTTTCGACACGACAGAGGCGCTTAAGATTGTTTGTTCCCGACAAATTCTGGGTAGAGTTGATATAGTAGCGGACGCGTTTAATAAAGAGTTTGTGAACCACCTTGCGCTAGTATGTGAGGGCAAAGTGAATTAATTAAAGCAAAGAGATACGAGATTATATATGAATACAGAGAATATGAAGAGACATAGTTATAACTACTTTACTGTTGCTGTTGCGGTTCGATACAGTGACGACTCGGGCAACTGCTCTGTAACGAGTCAGTTGTGTGTCCTTGCTGTCGCGCTGCATTTGTCAGGTCAAAGGTCGCTGACCTTTGACTTTCGCGTAACCTCCAGCGGTTACTTCAATCTCCGAGGGTTGACTCGCTGGTGCCTCGATATGCTCTGCTCCGCTTGTGCCTTAGTGTTTTGACACGACAGAGGCGCTTAGGAACGATTGTTTCCAACACTCCCCTTCGCTTCTGGAGTCTCGCTGACGTGGCTCTGTCTAGTCAGCAGTATGCAATATTCGAACTTCTGCTTTCCGACCTTCTTGGTCAGGTAATCAGCTGCCATCTCGGACGTGGGGCAGTATGACAGCTCAAGCCTTCCCTTCTTGATCTCGTCCTTCACAAAGAAATATCGTAGGGCGATGTGTTTTGTCCTGTTCGCGAAGCCGTTCTTGTTGGCGATGCGAATTGCCGACTGGTTGTGGCAGAACAGGGTGAAGTTGTGTAACTCGGCTAACTTCGCTTCTTCCAGCAACTCGCGAAGATAGAGTCCTTCCTTGGTGGCTGAGCAGAGTGCAATATATTCTGCTTCAGCTGACGAGAGAGCAATTAGTTCTTGCTTGCTCGATTGCCAGGAGATAGGCCCGATAGGCTCTAGACGGTAGATGTAGCTGGTGCTTGATCGCCTGTTGTCGGAGTTGCCTGCGTGGTCTGCGTCAATGTAGCCGATTAGCTTAGGCGTTGTAGTTGCGTTCTTATGATAAGTCAGTCCGACCGTCGGGGTACTGACAAGATAGTGAAGAGCGTGGTCGAGCTCCACCAGATATTCCGCTTCAGGCCTCTTGAGGTAGGTGGCGAGCTGGCTTGTAGAGTAGGATAGATATGGGCAGCAGGTAACAGCTGCGAAGAGAAGGCAGCCCAACTTTCTCTGGTAGTCGCGGATGCCGCGGGCTTGAGTAGAGCAGAGCCTTCGTTGTTGCTTGCTGTCGTGTAGCGGTACGGTGTGGAGATGGCAGTTGGTGTGAGTGCAAAACGCTTGGCGATGGTGTCGGCGTATTTCGCGGCGCTGAGGTAGATAGCGTCTTCTTCTTCTCTGATGTTGAGGCCGAGGTACTGTGTGACGGTAGGTGAAACCGTGAGTGTGAGGTCTTGCTGTAGCTCCCCTTCGAACCAGGTTGTAATGCCTTTGGTTGAGCCAATGTAGAGTAGATCGTCGACATAGACGATTAGCAGGATGTAGTCGGTACCCTTCGAAAGCCGGTACATGCCCTGGTCGTGCTGCAGTTGCTTGAAGCCGATGCGAATGAGGCGAGCGTGTAGGTATTGTTGCCATAGTCGCGGGGCTTGCTTGATGCTGTAGAGTGACTTGAGTAGTTGACAGACGTGTTTCGAGTCCGTGCTAGAGCCGTGTGGTAGCTCGACGAAGATCTCGGCGTCGACGGGTGCGTAGATGAATGCATTAGCGACGCCGATTTGCCTTAGCTTCTTCTTCATGGCGGCGATCGCGAGAAGGATGCGTAGAGAGGTGTGTCGGCTGACTGGAGTGAATGTTTCGGTGAAGTCGCATTCGTGCTCTTGGTCGAAGCCACGAACGACCCAGCGTGCTTTGAATTTGTCGATGGGGCCATCGGCCTTTGTCTTCACACGGAAGACCCATTTCCGGGTGAGTACTGTCTTGTTCTGTGCCACGCCGATGGGAACCACCTTCCACGTGTTGCATTCCTCCAGTGCCTTCAGCTCCTTGTCCATGGCTTCGTGCCATTTTTCTTTATGTTCCCCCCCAGAGCCTGCTGAACCGTCGCAGGCTCTTTAGGAGTGACGGAGCCGTTGACTGCGGTGACGAGTCCGAGAATCTGCAGTCCACTCTGTGAGTAGCGGGGAAGATTTACATCCTCGGGATAAGCTGCTTCATCTCCCGCTTCTGGATCAGGTATGAAATTTGGTCCTACTCGTTTTGGTTCGTTGGTGTTGACTGTCGCAGGTATTACGTAACCGTTGTCGGCGAAATGGTAGAAGGTTTCGGCGTTGGCACTTTCGCGAGCGTTGTCTTCGTCCATGGGAACGTCGACGGAGCAGAACGGAAGAGGTCCGGCTTCTTCTGATGCGTTGTCCACATTCTGCTCGTCCCAGTCTGCTTCGTCCGCTGCTGAGGCGAAGGCTCCGCACCACGAAGACCATCTGTGGGATCTTCGTTTTCTTGCAACTTGGCAAGGTACGTCTGGAGCGTGAGCCGTTCGTAGAAAATTACGTCACGTGCTGCTACTGTTTTCTTGGAGTGGACGTCGAAGATTTTCCACGCGTTATAGTTCTTTTCGATGCCTAGGTGTAGTCCCCACTGTGCTCGTTGAGAAAATCAGCCCGCTCGTGCTGCTGGGGGTCGGTACTGTACCATGCACCCGAAAACTCGTAACATTTTTGTGCTGCCCTGTTTCCCTGTCCATAGCAGATGCGGTGATGCGTTGTTCGGAAGCGATGACGACGACAACAAATTGTGCAGCATGACAGCGTGGTCCATTGCTGCAGGCCATTGGTGGTTGGGTAGCCGCATGCCACGTAACAGTTTGCGCATGGTGTTCTACAAGGTCCTGTTCATTCTTTCTGCTACTCCTTGCTGCTGATGGGCGTAGGGAAGGGAGATGAGCTGCTTGATTCCTCTTTCCGCCAGGTACTGCTTGAATCGCTGAGAGGTGTATTCTCCTCCTCCGTGTGAGTGGAAGCTTTTCAGTTGTACGCCCGACTCTCTCTCTGCTAGTGGTAGCCAGGCAACGAGGGCTGCGAATGCCATGTCGCGGCTGGGTAGGTTTAGGTGCCAGACGTAACGGGTGGCGGCGTCGATGAAGGTGATCGTGTAGTTGTATGTAACTTGTCCTGGTTCCCGATTGAACAGGATATCGCTATACACCTTCTCGAGTGGTGCGTACGCGGGGGCGCTTGGGTTGTGATGTGACGCGAATGGTCGATGCGGTAAGTCACCTTCAGGGCAGGTGAAGCACGTTCCTCGCGCTCGTTGAAGTTCTCGTCCGTCGGTTAGTAGTGTTGAGATAGAGGCGAGGAATGAGTGCACTATGAAATGAAACAAGTACAAGTACCAACCCTAATTGGGTTGTGCCCCCTATGGGCTACCCCACTACAGCCTAAATACATGCATCAGTAATATAATCATCTGACACACCCCCATAGGCAAAGTGGGGGAGAGCAAGGGGTCACAAGACCAGTCAAGCAAAGCAAAGCAAAGCAAAGCAAGCTCAGGGTGGATCTCAAGGATACCACACAAATTCCGAGCACAAGGTCAAGGCCACAAGGCCAGTTCACATGCAGCAGAGCATATATATATAACAGAGCTAAACAAGCAAGAGCAAGGATATATATATGCAGCAGTACAAGCAAGGTCAAGAGGTAAGCAAGTGAGGCCCAGTGGGCACAAGGCCTAGCAGAGTGCAAAAGCGCTGATGGTCACGAGGCGGAAGTGCCTTGGTGAACACATCAGCAGTGTTGGCCTCAGTGGCCACGAAACGCAGGCGAAGCTGACCACGCTGCTGCAGCTCTCGAGCAAGGAAGTAGCGCAGAGCAATGTGCTTCGTCCTATGCTCCAGTCTGTGCTCCTGACACAAGGCAATGGTTGCCTTGTTGTCGACGTACAGCACTAGAGGAGAACGAGGCCGCTCTCCAAGGTCAGTCAGCAGGTAGGTGAGCCAGCGAAGCTCCTGGGCAGCCATGGCCGTGGCGTAGATCTCAGCCTCACAGCTGGAGCTGAGAACCGAAGAAGAGCGAGTAGAGCGCCAAGAGACAGAGCCAGAGCCAAGACTGAAGGTGTAACCCTGAGACGACCTCTGAGTAGCCTGGTCGTCAGCCCAAGAAGCGTCTGAGTGCCCAGTGAGCACAGGCCGCTCACGCCCTCCAAGCACTAGCTCCATGCCCGACGTACTGCACAAGTAACGCAACACCCTCTTAGCTGCATCCATGTGCTCCTTCCGGTGACGGCCGGGAGCAACATAGCGTGCTAAGATGCTGAGAGGGTATGCGAGGTCAGGTCGAGTGCAGGTCATCAGGTACATGAGGCAGCCCACAAGCTTTGGATACGGACCACTCGACTCTACGGACTCATCCGAAGGCAGAGCTGAGAGCGAGTGTCCCGTAGGCAGAGGAGTGGACTGAGGCGAGGAGTACGTGAAGCCGAAGCGCTGAAGGACCTGCTGCACCATGTGTGACTGAGTCAGGGTAATGGTGCGGCGTGCTCTGTCCCGGGTGATCCGCAAGCCAAGATAGCTTGTCAGTTCACCCAGGTCTGTGCACGTGTGTCTCTTCTGCAGCTCGGACTTCACATGGGCGAGTGCAGCAGTGTCCGCAGTGGCAAAGACCAAGTCGTCGACGTACACGAGGATGTAGAACGGCGGCAGCGAGGTGTCGGTGCGCAGAAACAGCGACGGGTCAGCAGTAGAAGGAGCAAACCCAAGAGCCGCAAGTGTAGTCCTCAGTGTGTCGTGCCACTCACGCGGCGCCTGGCGGAGACCGTAGACTGGCCGCCGGAGGCTCCACTGGGTACCAGGAGGGAACGACCCAGTGAAGCCAGGAGGGCGGCGCAGCCAGATCTCCTCGTGCAGGCGGCCCTGCAGGAAAGCAGTGCTGAAGTCAAGAGAGTGTAGCTCGTAGTCACGCTGAGCAGCGACGTGCAGTAGAACCCGAAGAGTGGTCATCTTCGGGGTCGGGGAGAAGGTCTGAAAGAAGTCAACTCCCTGTTGCTGACTGAAGCCACGAGCCACGTAACACGCCTTGAAGACAGGCGGAGAACCCGGCGGCCGCTTCATCCTGAAGATCCACATGCCACTGACGATGTTCGCCCCAGGAGGGGGGACAGCGTCAACGTAGGTGCTTGTGGACTTCCAGGAAGCCATCTCTGCGTCTATGGCTGACTGCCACTGAGAGGAGTAGGGACCGGCCATCGCCTCTGCGTAAGAGCGTGGGGTCGGGATGTCTAGAGCATCCGGGTCTCCCTCAGGGGCAACAAGCATGGACACGAGATGGGGCAAAGCGGCGGCAAAGCACTGGAACTCCTCCTGCCTGTCCTCAAGGACGTCCGTGCCAAGAGCACAGTCACCCCCGACGGACGGAGGACAGGCAGACGCAGACGCAGCAGACGCAGACTGAGCAGACTCAGCCGACTCAGCAACAAGACTGGCAGCGTAGTCCAGACGACACGCAGCAGCAAAGTCGACCAGCTCAGCAACTAGGGCAGACGCAGCAGCGGACTCAAAGGAAGGGTCAGTGACAAGAGAAGCAAGAAGACGCGTGACAGTAGGACTGGCAGCACGACGAGAGTCCGACTCCGGGTCGGCAAGTGTAGGAAGAGAAGACTGAGGAGGAGAAGGCAAAGGGGCACGCAGAGGAGCAGTGGACGGACGCAGAGACATCTGGTGTGTGCCAGGGACAGGAGGAGGACGCTGACGCGAACCGCGACCACTAGAGCGAGCAGCTCGGACTGGCGACGCAGGGCGGGACGCAAGCTCACGACGCTCAGCAAGACCTCCAGTAGGACCAGCGTAGGGAGAAGGAGAAGGCAGGGGAGAGGCGGGCTGTAACTGTGACTGTGACGGGACAGGCTGCGGACACTCTACGGGAGGAGAAGGACCAGTGGAAGGCGGGAGACCAAGAACCTGCTGAAGGAGCGGAACGAAGTACGGCCGAGGCCGCGCAGCACCGCCAGAGACAGCAGGGACAGCACCAACACCTCCAGAGGCAGCACCAGCACCAGTAGCAGCTCCAACTCAAGCACCACCAGCAGCTGCAGAAGTACCCGCAGTAGGACCGACAGTCGTAGCCTCAGCGCCAGCACCCGCAGCAGCTCCAGCTCCAGAGGCACCCCCGGGCCCAGCAGCTCCAGTACCCGCAGTACGAGCACCTCCGGGACCCGTGGTACCAGCTCCCTCGGCAGCAACGGAACCTGCAGCACCCGCAGTACCCTCGGCTCCAGCAGCTCGCCTCCAGCGCCGGGCAAACCACTCACGCAGCTCCAGAGGAGAGAGCGGCTCGCGGCGCGAAGACCGGTCTGGAGAACCACCAGGAACAGAAGCAGCAGGCGCAGCACTCCCGGACGCAGAACCCCCAGGCTCAGCACCCCCAGGCACAGCACCCCCAGGCTCAGCACCCCCAGGCGCAGCACTCCCAGGCTCAGCACCCCCAGTCTCAGCACCCCCAGGCTCAGCACCCCCAGTCTCAGCACCCCCAGTCTCAGCACCCGAGGCTCCGCACCCGCAGCAGCACCAGAGTCACCAGTGACCTCGACAGGCTCGACCGCGTCTACCTGAGACACACCTGAAGGGGCAGGACCCTGAGGGGGGAGGGGGTCTACCAGGGGGGGACCTGGGACCAGGAAGAGGGGCGGGGGGGGGAGGGACGGAGTGCGGTAGGGGAAGAGCCGGTAGAAGGGAACCGACTCGTCGAATGTGACGTCCTGGGAGGACAGAACACGAGGAGAGGTGGGGTGGTAAAACTGCCACCCAGGTGCGTCAGGGGGGAAGCCCAGGAAGACGCAAGGAGGAGCACGAGGGGACAGCTTGTCCGCAGACAAGTCGCGGACAAACGCCCGAGATCCCCAGACACGGAACGCCGACGCATCGCCAACCTTCCCCGTCCACAGCAAAGCTGGAGAGGTCTCCGGTCTGGAGACCCTGGGCTGAAGGTTGATCTGATGTGCGGCGTACCTCACCGCAAACGGCCACAGAAAATGGGGGGCATCCGCATGCACCATGGACGTACGGGCGACGTCCATGACAATGCCGATGCGGCGCTCAGCAATCCCATTCTACTGTGGAGAGTCCGGAAGCGTGAAGGTCGGGCGGATGCCTCGTGCCCGACAGTAGGCTCGCAGAAGGCCGGAGGAGAACTCTCCGCCTCTGTCCGAGTGCAGACGCAAAACAGGAAAGTCCGAGCCGAAGCTCCGCCTGAGCTGGAGACGAGCTGCGCGGATCCAGTCGATCAACACCTCAGTGACCTCACCCTTGCTGCGCAAGGGGAAGACTAAGGTGTAACGCGAGTAGTCGTCAACCACCAGCAGGAAGTAGCGCTCGTGACCCTGTCCACGGACGCGGGCTGGGCCCCACACGTCCATGTGAAGCGTCTGCATCGGGGCCTCCGTCGGAGGAAACGGGGAGGAGTGAGGGGTAGCCCGCAGGCGACCCTCGACACAGGGGACACAGGGAGGGCCAGGCCCCGGAGGAAGGGGAGGGAGGGACCGGGGAAGGCCAGAGACAAGAAGGCGAGAGGCCATGCCCCGGAGACGAGGCAGGGAGGGGTGACCCATCCTGTGGTGCCACAGGAGGGTCTCGTGGGACAGGAGGCGACACGAGCAGGGGGCAGACTCAGGACCAGACCTGGACGCTGCAGCAAACACCTGACCCGACGCAGCTACCTGACCAGACGCAGGAGGAGGAGACGGAATAGTGAGTGTGTACATGCTCGACCCCGGCCCACGTGTGAACGTGGTCAAGTGTCGACCCGTGTCCGCGTCCGTGCAGTAGGTGTCCCGTCGGCGTGCAGGGGTGAACTGGTCGACCCCTGCATCCTGTAGGTTAGCACCCGCCACCAAGTTCGTAGAGAACGAGGGGAGGTAGAGACCGGACAGGGCGCCAGACGGGACCGCAGGGCACGGCAGGACAGTGGAGTAGCGAGCCAGAACAGGACCCCCAGAGGGGTCCGCCAGGGAGACCGCCACTGGCCGACTAAGCGGCGTGAGTGTGGTGCGGTCTCGAAAGAAGGAGCGAGACGCCCCTGAGTCAAGAGTGAAGGTGAGAGAGGGCGGAGCCGACGTAGTACCTGAGAGAGCAGACTCACCAGCACCTGAGGACACAGACTCACTGGCACCTAGAGCGACAGCCTCACCAGCACCTGGAGTAGCAGCCTCAACAGCACCTAGAGCCGCAGTACCAATGCCCGGGTCGGGCGGGAAACACCGGTAACAGTCACCCTCCTCACTAATGGTCACAGCATATATGGCAGCAAGAATAGCATCAAAGTCAAGATCAAAGATAGCTACGCCTGCCCTAGACAGCTGGTCCCAGCGAGGGATCTCAGAGGCGTCAGGAAACTGGCGGCGCCAAGCGTCAGTCAGGCGGCCGAAGCAGCGCTGGGCGGGGTGTGGACCACCACACGGCTCACCCGCACGGTCGCCCGTGCGCAAGACGTAGGTGCACGGACCAGTACCCCCACCCCTCTGACGTGCAGCGTACCACTCACGGAGCTGCTGCGGGGAGAGGGTCTCCTGACCACGCTGCTGCCGCTGTTGTTGGCGCTGACCGCCACCGGAGCCACTCCTCTGCGACGAGCCACGACCTCCTCCGCCGCCTCCTCCGCCGCCGCCGCCACCACCTCCGCTGCCACCGCCACTCCCACCGTCGCTGCCGCCACCGCCGCCTCCGCCTCCACTCCCACCACCACCGCCGCTGCCACCCCCGCCTCCACTGCCGCCGCTGACACCTCCACTCCCGAAACCACTCCCGCTACCACCCCCACCTCCTCCGCTGCCTCCACCGCCGCTCCCACCGCCCCCGCCGCCTCCACCACCGCTCCTGCCCCCTTTGCCCTTGCTAGAGCGACGTCTCCCACTGGGGGCAGACGCCGCACCGACCGACTCAAAACCAACTAGGTCGGCCGTAGCAGCAGAGGCGACAGAGGGCAGGAGGGGGGAGGGGGAACACCCCTCAAAGATGGGGGTGCGCGGGTCACCACGAGAGGCCCCTACAGCGAGAATGCTCTTCTCGGCTGCTAGGAGGGACTTCTCGAGGATGTTAACAGTGAGAGTGGTGGGGCAGACTGAGAGTAAGTCGTCCCTGACTCCGCGGAGGGAGTCAGGGAGGCGGGTGACAATGTAGTAGAGAGTGAAGTAGTGGGGGGGGGGGTTCTTGGCGCAGAACTCAGCAGGAAGCGCAGCGCGGAAGCGAGCGTCACTAGTGCGCAGGTGGGTAATGAGGTCGGCGACTGTGGCAAAAGAAGCAAGGTCGGGAAAGAGGTACGGTAGCATGAGGCGGCTCAGTGCAGCAGTGGCAGGGGTGGAGTAGCGTGCAATAACGGCGTCGTACAAGGTCTGAGCACTCTTGTACGACCCAAAGTGTGCACGCTCAGAGGGAGGGAGGTGGCGACGCACAGCAAGACGTGCAGCAGCATCGCGTGTGGCCCACACTGAGCGAACAGTGGCATCCTCAGTAGCAGCAGGGGCGGGGAATGAGTGCACTATGAAATGAAACAAGTACAAGTACCAACCCTAATTGGGTTGTGCCCCCTATGGGCTACCCCACTACAGCCTAAATACATGCATCAGTAATATAATCATCTGACAAGTAGGAGCGAGTCCTTGTTAAGTACTCCTGCTCTTATTGTATTGTTTAATACTATGTTGCTTGGGTGTCCCAACCTTGCGTGCCAGGTGCTTTCGTTGGCGCGATGTACGAGTGATCGTCGGTACATGTCGGAGTTGGAGTAGAAGCTGGTGGTGAAGTTGGTGCTGCGATGAACTTCTCGTGGTGCTGGGTGTAGTTGTTGCGCTGGTGTTGGTGGTGTGTCGTCGATGAGGAGTGGTGTCGTTGAAGGGCTAGCAACTGGTGTTGACGTTCTGCTGCTGCCGTTGATGGTTCTGCTACTGCGATGTTGTCTCTGCTGCTGCCGATGTTGTCTATGCTGCTGTCGATGTTGTCTCTGCTGCTGCCGATGTTGTCTCTGCTGCTGCCAATGTGTCTCTGCTGCTGCCAATGTTGTCTCTGCTGCTGCTGATGTTGTCTGAATTGTTGCTAATGCCCTTGTTCTTTCTGCTTCAAGCATGGTGTGTGAATACCAAAAGCCTTCTGGACTGAAGTCTGAATCAAGGTCCGGAGGGTGTGTCCAGTCGGTGAAGCTGACGATGGCGTCGCTGTCGGCAGTGCCAAGGTCAGGACGAAATCAAGAACGAAGACGTTGTTCTTGAGGACTGCCCTGCTGATGTAGAGTCCTCCTCTACCGTGATACAACTTGAATTCTTGAGTGGTGCTGTCTGCTTCGAGGTGAATCCCCTTCGCCATTAGCTGGCTGATGCTCAGTAATTTGTAGCCGAGTCCCTCCGCGATTAGTACTTTTGACATCTGTAGTACGACGTTTGTTTCCCTTGACTGAAGTTGAACTACGCCTTGTCGTCGTGTTCGCAGGTTTTGGTTGTTGGCAACTGTAATGACGACTTCGCGTTGAAGCTGGTGTTTTCGTTGAACGAAGCGTCCTGAGGAGCACATGTGCTGTCCGCAGCCACTATCCAAGAACCATGTGTCCCTTCCGGATGGTTCGCTTTAGGCGATGGCGGCGTATGTAGGGTTCGGCTGAAGTGACTCGCAGCGG